TCAGTAAGTCTGTGATGCACTCAAGAATATGCTTTATAGTTTTCCAAAACCCCTAGATTTTCAGTTAATAGTTTGGTGAAATTTATGAACAATGGAAAAATGACTTGAATAATGAGAAGTTTGATTCTATTCAATTTATTACTGTAGGTTTTATATGCTGGAAGAAACTTTTTTGTAAAGATAACAGCCCTTTTTAAAAAAGAAAAAAAAGAATAAAAAGAGGCTTTGGGGAAGGAGAAAGGCTAACACGCCCAGAAGATTAGAATTTAGTTGTGTTACAATAGTTTAAATGCCCCTCACAGATGAATACTAACTGCTTTTGCAGTTAAATGTTGGGGTACCCCCTTACATTTCATACAATGAAAAGTGCTTTTATAACTCTTTAAGGGACAAAAGAATATTACATGCTTTTGGTGAGAGAGGAGATCCTAGCATAAAATAACATGTTATCAGAACAATGTCATCTCTGTTTAGACAAACTAGAGCTCCCATAGTCTGATTGTAGTGAGAATGAATTAGACAGCAGAGAACAGTGTGTGTATGTATGTTAATATAAACTAATGCAATGCACTTCATCTTTCACAGACTGTCATACTGAAGGGCAGAATATCCTTTTCACTGATGGAGAATATATTAATCAAATAGCAGCATCCAGAGATGTAAGTGTCACATGTGATGAGTAAACTATTTTTCCCTCAACTGAATTGTTTTATTTTACAGTATTATAATTTCCTTTTTGCTTAATGTTTGGCTTTTTCTTCTCTAATACAACTAAGGAAGAAATCCATGTAACTAGAGATTATGGGAAACTGTCATATTTGTGCACAATGGAGCAGTACTTTCCTGGTTTTCCATACAATTTGTATTTGTGTGATGGATTTTTCAGATTTTTTTGATTTTTAAGATAAGTTTTTTTCTTAAAACTTTGTTGTTCTTTCTGAGGAAAAAAACCTTATACATGGAATAATGGCTTTTTAACATGTTACTCTACAGGGTCTCTGTGGGCTAAGCTTCTTAGAGCTTAATTATAATTTTTTTTCTAATTTAATTTCTTGTAATTGCTTTGGTACTTGTTGGGGAATTTCAGCTAGATTCGATAAAGAGGTATGAAAGATAATACATTCGAGTAGATTTTTATATGAAAATTGTCTATTGGCTGAAGTTGTGGAACCCCAAATAAGTGATGTTATTAAGACCAAAACAGTTCTAGCTGCTCTGTGGTTTGTTTGGCAGTTAGTACATTCTTAGCTCTGGACTGGTCACTGGTTTTTGATGTTGAGAAAGCTGTAGAACAGGGATGGGGCAGAGATGGGGTGAAACGAGGTTGACAAGAGATGCCAGACATGCAATGTCAAGAAAACCAGGATTAATCCATTTCCATGCTAATGGAACACCTTTTTTTAACACGACCAGATGAAGATACTTCATCTGCACTTGCAAACAGAAACCTGTTTTAGCTACTCTTAAAAGCAGTCATTATTAAACAGCAGAATTTTTGCTTCTGAATCAGGAGAAATTAAGGGCTTAAAAGATAAATGTAGATAGTCATAAAAGCAACATTTTGAAAGTGGGATTCAGAGTTAATTATTTCTGTAGCAAGTCACTATTTTCATAGTGTTCATAGTGTTTTTATAGAATTCAGTATATGTTTAAGGTCTGTCAGATGTTTTATCTTCAGCTCATCCTGTTTGGCACTCTCTTCTTTACTCCTCTATAATAAATGTTACTTTATCAATGTGTCCTCTGATAATTTACTCTGAAATAGTATTATACCAATGCACTTAGGCCATGAAAAGTAAATGAAATGCATTAATTATACAGTATAAAGTCAGGGGTTTTATTTATTGCAGGATGGCTTTGTGGTGCGAATATTTGCAACAAGTACTGAGCCAGTACTGCAACAAGAACTGCAGCTTAAGCTTGCAAGAAAATGCTTACATGCCTGTGGCATCTCATTGTTTGATCTGGAGAAAGACTTGCACATTATCAGTAAGTCCTCTTTGAAGGTTAATAACAAGCCTAGTAATTCAAATAATAAAACAGGAACACTGCCCTTCTCTTTGTTTGCTTTTATTATGTGCAGGAAGGTATAGCTCCATAAGGTATAGCTCCATTATAAACACACGGAGAAGTGAAAGGGGTTTGAAACTACTTAAGTGTTATTTGACTCATGGTAATCCATCCACTTATTTTGAACCACCTTTCCCGTAGCACTATCCATGGTTTTCCAGTGTTTTCCTATAGTTGTATAATAAAGATATAATTGTTTGAAAGCTTGGACTTCGTAATAGTGCACATGTGACATGGAGTTAGGCTATTAGAACTCTTGCTGTGGGTCAAAATTAACAAAATCTAAAAGGACTGCTGGCCAGATTAATGGAAAAGAAATGCATTGAAAGAAACTAAATGTGTGGAAAACACTTTTGCATCAGAATTTAAGATGTGAAATTGTTGGTGTCTGTGAAGGTATTTTGGAGAAATATCACTTGGTCTTTGCTTTTGGGTTTCTTTGTTCTGTTAGGGGACTGCTTTTAGCCCTATCACAACAAAAGGTTATTTGGCTACGTGGTCCTTTTGTCTGATCAAGTGCAGTTGCTCTTATGCTAGTGCTTTTTTCCCCTTTGAACAACTCTGCCAGGTCTAGCCCAGTAAGCCTCCTTTGTGGCACCAGAACTTTGTTTCACTTGTAGCTTTCTTAGAACTTTTGTTATCACAAACTCTCATGGCAGACTGAGGTCCATAAACTGGTCTGTGAAACTGCCTGGTCAAACAGTTCGGTTAACACAATCTTACTCACACAGGTACAGGTTTTGATGAGGAATCAGCTGTCCTTGGTGCTGGAAGAGAGTTTGCACTTATGAAAACTGCTAGTGGAAAGGTACTGAAAATGTTCTGTAGCAAATAACAAATTGCATCAATATATGTCTATATTTTTTTTAATTTAATCATTATTTTCTACGTTTAACCATTATTTTCCTTTTTGCCTTTTTAGTATGTTAGAATGAACTTATATGACTGTATTTAAATACATTTTCAGATCCCATTTTAAAGGGAAAAAGGCAAATGCTTGTTTGAAAACATGAGTGAATGGTGTTGGAAATCTGTGGCTTGAATTTATAGGAATTTCTACAGTCATTCTTACTTAGAGATAGTGTGGATATTTGTTTTAGATTTGGGGGACAAAAATACTTTTTGTCTACAAATGATATATTAGCACATTTTCAAAATTTTTTGCCTGATAACTTTCCATAAACAGTCTGACCATAGTAATTTATTTAAATCCAAGCTTGTTTTTTCTGATGCTTCAGAGAATTATTGGCTTCCCCTATGCAAAGTTTCGAACTGATTTCGTTCAGCCTGTTCTTTTTTATTCAATGTGTTGGTTCTGCTCAGTGGAGACTGTTTTTCAGAGGCATTTGCATGTTCATTGAAATTTAAAAATAATTTAGCTTACTGTCAGTATGATTTTTTTACATTATTTAATGTGTTTCTATTTTGGTTTTGGAAACTACTGTTATTTTACTTGTATAAGCATAGTTCTTTGTTTTCCTGTGTTCAGAATTGTGTTGCTTCATTGGAATGAAGGCCTTGCTCTGCTGCTATCAAAACAGTGAGCTTGGTGATGATGTTCATAAGTAAACTAACTTTTTTCCTAATGAAATTTAATAGTACAAAACAGAATTTGATCAAACAAGTCTTCAGACATTAGAGAAGACAGCTTAATTTGACCTTCAGAATAACAAATGCCTCTTCAGTATAAAATTAACAAATTTCCTAGTTTTGATCTCTGAAGTTGTATGTTTGTGTATGAATTACACTTTGTAAGACAATCAAAGATGGCTTTAGGTGCCCACATAGATTTAACACCCATTTTATAGTACTGTTGAGTAGCATGGTTCCAGAGGAAACCTCCTAGTCCATGTCAGTAGTTTTGTGTTTGTTCATGTGAAATATTTTATTCTATGTTATTGTTTATGTACTCAGTGGTCTCTGTGCATTTACTGAAAATAAATTTTAAAAATTTGTTGAAGCATATTAAAATTTGTAGTAATTTGGTATTTTTAATTATTTTTATTGTTATAATACCATCTTGACTTTATGCAGACCACACATTTCTCTTAAGTGTTTTAAATGCCTAGTTTCCTCTGAGTAGTTTCTTCTGAACAGTTCTTTCTTGTGTGTTCAACTCATCTAGCCAAACAATTATATATGAAAACTAACTCTGTGGCACAACAGAAAGCACATTTCAAAACAAGCAGAGCCTAATCAGAATGTTTCCCCCATTAAGTCAAAATTAATGGGTTTAGGATAGAGATATTGAAGTGGTGTAAACAATGTCAGGAAAAGTTCTGTATGATTTGAAATGACAGGATTTAAAAACAACACAACTTTAAAAATGTAGCAAGTTTAAAGTGCTGTGGCATAACTGAAAGAGATAAACTGTTTTCTCCTAGATTTATTATACTGGCAAATATCAGAGCCTGGGAATCAAACAAGGTGGTCCTTATGGGTTGAGCTCCCAATTACAAAGTCTCCAAAGATTATTCAGTTCTCCGTTGGACATGATGGCTCACATGCCTTACTTGTTGCTGAGGATGGAAGCATATTCTTCACAGGTTCTGCTAGTAAAGGAGAGGATGGCGAATCAAGTATGTATTATGCTTGCTTGACCAGTGGTTGATAGAAGCCTATTATGCACCTTTTAATTTGAAAAGAAGAGTTTTAACATTTTCCAAGAACATGTAAGCATGCCATTGGGTTTGAGTTTTACACCAGCTACAGGTCCTGACAACTAGTGCCACCGCCTCTCCCAGCTAGAGATGTTGATATCAGTTTTACCACAGTTTGGATTGTGTGGTGGGAGTGCTGCTTTAGAGTTGTTCTGAGAAAAGACAATCATAAGTTTGGTCAAGAGTCTGTGCTTTCTGCCTGGGACTTGTCTGAAAAACTGAAGAGCCAAACTTTTGCCCCTGCAGTGTTGTTGTAGAGAGCTTTGGAAGTGGGTATTTTGCCAGCTAATGCCGCTTCGTAATGGGGAGGTACATTGATTAGAAATTGTAGAAGCACAGTCTTCTTGATCAGCAGAAGGCTTCAGACGTTAGAGAAGGCAGCTTAATTTGATCTTCAGACTAATAAATGCCTTTTCAATATAAAATTAACAAATTTCCTAGTTTTGATCTCTAAAGCTGTGTGTTTAGGTTAAAATATGCTTTATAAGACTATGAAAGATGGCTTTAGGTGCACTAAAGCTGTGATCTGCTGTGATATTAAATTAGATACTTCATTGTAGGAAACGTTGTTCTGTTACGTCATGTTAGATTAATAAAAGAAAAAAGCCCAGTAAAGTATGTGTTTTAGAGAATACCTAGCTCTTGAGAATCTTAAAGCTGATAAATTTTTGAGTTATCATTGATGTGTACATTTTAATAGGATAGTCTAATGTACATTTCATAGGTAGCATTTTCATATAGCATTGAAGCCTAACTCAAGCTCAAATTAATCTCTCAATAATGTTCTGTTTTAATAGTGTAGTTTGATGTTGCTATTAAAATTAATATATTTTTCACAAAGCACGTTTGTGCAAAAGTTTGATCTGCTAGCCATAGAATTTAAACACAGATTTAATAAGACTGAAATTTTTGTGCTTCAGTGCAGTCAGAAATACAATAAATAACACTCAAATGTTGGTATAAAATTCAAGTCTTTAGATGGTTAGAATGTAAAAGTTGATTTAAAATATAATTTAAAACTAGATTTAAAATCTTGATAAACAGCAGCACTAGAGTCCAGCTTTGTCTCAGTCAACTGTGTAGGAGTTTTACCTTTCAAGAAAATTGTTAACAAAAACTCAGTGGGCTGCATATGTGAGGTATGGCATAGCTCATGCAGAAACAAAACATATTTAAATTTTTGTCCCTGTGAAAGATTAACTACACTGGCAGTATTCCCCAAGAATGTGTGGATTTTCCCATGTAATGTAACTAAAATGCAGGCAAGAACATATTTTAAGGTGTGGTAATGCATAGGGAGTGGATTTTTGAATGTGTTCAGGGGAAAGGAAATTAATAGTAGTACTCCTGTGTGTAGAGGTCTTTGGATAACAAACTTGGTATGTGCTATAGTAACTTTGTAGGGTCTTCTTAAATGCAAATCTACTGAAAACTGTGTGGGACAAAATCATGCTACTTTCTCTAGCAAATGTAGAGTAAATTTAAGAGATTAAAACAAAAAGATTTCAGGAAATACATGTAAAAGCACAAATTTCAAGATTTCTTCATGCAGTTATTGGGAAATTATCCAAAATACAATTAAACTGATTCTTTTTGCTGTATATTTAATTCATCTACAATTTCAGGTGAAACAGAATTTTGGCACTTTGAAGTAAGTTGCTGTCACTGCTTTTGTTTAAACTAGCAAAATTTAGGTGAGAAGATTTAGTGCTTACTAGATCTTCTTACTGAAGAATCTGCTTAAGGACCTGATAAAGGTCTTTCTGAGTTCTTTTAAAAGTTCAAGTCTCTTCTGACTCATCTGGTCCTCTTTTTCACTCTAATTTGGCTCAGAATGGATATAGACAAGTTTTAATTTTTTTCCCCCCTGATTTTTGTTAAACCTGGGCAGGGAGACTGGGTTTCTGTCAGTAGGGGGGGGGGTGTGTGTTCTTTGTAGAAAGTTGATAATTGTCAGAAAATGAAAGTAGCTGGTCTTTGAGTTGGGTGAAAATTCACAGCCAGTAATGGTAGCTGTTAGTTGTTTTATCCAGTCTTTAGCTATGTTGTTACTGTTTCCTTTGAGGCCAGATTGCAAACAATGATTCTGGAGTGGGGTTTTTTTTAGTACTTTTTCTTTTGTATTTCTTCTTGTGAGAATCTGTTGTGACTCAAAGGTTTTCTAAACATCGTTTTAAGAAATAGAGAAGTTAGTGAACTCACTGTGCATATTTTGTGATATATATTCTTCTTAGATGACAGTGAGGATGGTTTTTGCTGTGAGCTGCTTTATAGAGTTCATAAAGTTAGTTCAATATGTACATGAAAGAAAAACTTCAGTCATTTCTGAAAGATACCTATCTAATCATGACTTTGCTTGCCATTGAGTTTTTTGAGAGAAACCAGCGTAATCCAATAAAAATTAGACCAGGCAATCATACAGATGGATTTTTTTTTAATTTTTTTTTTGAGGAACAGTCTGAAAACTAACCCCTAATTGTAAAACAAATGTTACTGTGCTTTTGAAGGTTTTTTGGTAAAATGACTTGCAATTTATTTATTTATTTAAAGCTAAAAGCAGACGGCAGTCAAAACCATATAAGCCTAAAAAAATTATTAAAATGGAAGGAAAGATTGTCATATCTACAGCATGCAATAATGGAAGCAGTTCTGTAATTTCCAAAGATGGAGAACTCTACATGTTTGGAAAAGATGCCATTTACTCTGATAGTACAAGTAAGTTAATATTTGTCTTCTAAGTGTTTTCGCGACTAGAGTGATTGAAATTAGTCTGGTAGTTTTTAGCTTGTGGAAATGATGTTTGTGTGTTTCTTACACTCCTAGTAGATTTCTGAATTTCTGCGATTCAGCCAAATATGACAGAAGGATAGAAAGAGAAGACAGTTTCCTTCTGTATAAATATATAGCAGCACTGGTGACAAATACCTGAATGAATGCTTCTGCTAAGGAGAAAAAAAAAAATTATTGTATTAATCTGACACTAGAAGGCCACACAGGGAAAAGTCACGGAAAGGCTGCAGAAAACCAAGCCTTATCGTTTCTCTGCTCACAAGACATCCTGTTTTGAATTTGCAGGTGATCCAGTACATATCAATTTAAATAAAATATTTAAAAAACCCCTTCCAATGCCATTATGTCTCCTTTAGAATTGTTTTTCAGAACAAGTGATTTGCATCAGGGTTTGGTTTGGTTTTGGTTTTTGTTTCTTTGAGGACAAATGGCCTAGGCCTAATTCTACTTCTGCTTCTTATTCTAGCACTTGTTTTTTATATCAGCTGATTTTCTCCCTTGCCGATAATTTAAGAGTTGTCAATATCCACTAGCAATTTTATTATATTGCTGAAGTTTCCTTCTCAGACAGAGAGTGAAATTTACCACTCAATTGTTTTATATCTTACAGGTTTAGTAACGGACTTGAAAGGCCATTTTGTGACTCAAGTAGCCATGGGCAAAGCTCACACATGTGTGTTAATGAAGAATGGAGAAGTTTGGACATTTGGGGTAAATAATAAAGGACAGTGTGGACGAGACACAGGTTCCATGAGCCAGGGAGGAAAAGGTGAGGGACCTAGATTTTTTCTTTTGTTTTGTGTGCTGGAAAATATCACAAGTGAAAACGTAGCTAAACATTTTACTGTAAAGTATAATACCGATACTAAAGCTTAAGTATATGCAATGTATTTTTAAAAAAGCAGGTATGGATGCTTTCACTTCAACTGTCAGGTATTTTCTACCTTTCCTTGTTTGCATTCAGTCTTGAGACTGTTGTTTGCCTGAACAGGATAAGAATGCAAGTCTGCGTCTTTCTCCGTGCAACTGAACATTTCCATTACTCCTAAATATAGGTATGAAAAATCATACCTATTCACCTTTGCTGGATTGGAATATTTTATACGTGACAAGTAAATGATGTGTTATTTGTATACTGAATATAAATGTTTCGTTTCTCTTTTAGTTGTGAAACCTAGCTATATACCCCAGCCTATGCTCAAAGAGGTTTCAAAAGTGTCATTGTGCTGGCTTAGCATGCAAATCAGGCCTTACCTAGTCATTCCTTTTAAAATCTGGTCTGTGAGTGTTCTTCAGAGCTTCTTCACTAGCCACTGTTGGCCTCAGAAAACAGATGTTTCTTGTTTCAATATCTTAATTAGGTTTTGGAGTTGAGAACATGGCAACAGCAATGGATGAAGACCTAGAAGAGGAGCTGGATGAAAAAGATGAGAAGTCCATGATGTGTCCTCCAGGCATGCATAAATGGAAGCTGGAGCAGTGTATGGTGTGCACTGTATGCGGAGATTGCACAGGCTATGGAGCTAGCTGTGTTAGCAGTGGGCGTCCTGACAGAGTACCTGGAGGGTAAGCAAACCTGTGGAAATATACTTGCTGTAGTATGTTGAATGGCTGAAGCATGTGTTGAATGTGAACTGAGTTGGTGTGTTCTTAAACTTCAGTTTAAGGTAACATTATATCTAAAAAGAGCCTGTGCTTTTAAAATCAGAAGTAAGTTAAATTTTTTGTAAATAGCTTGTAATGGTTGCAGGTGATTTAGTTTTAAATGTATTGTTTTACATTTCTTTAGCATACAGTTCTTTACTGGAAGCTGTTGAATATAAACACTAATATAATCTATCTCTTGATGGAGCTGCTGGCTTTGGGATACCCTTTCTTTGTCCTATGGTGGAAGTTTTTTTATCTTCCTGTTCCAGTTGCTGTTATCTGTTATTTCAGGGTTGAACTGCATAAAGGACCACTGCTTTACGTATTGCCATTACAATTCCTCCAGCGTTGCGTGTGCTCCTTGTTTCCTTGTTCATGTTTTCTTGTGGTGTATATTTAATTAAATGAAGAAAAGTTGATGCTGAGAAGTCAGTTCATGTATGTATGGTCAGTATATGCTACCTGGCACCATGCAACAGCAGCTAGGATTTAAACTAGCTATACTTCCTGTTTATCTCAGGAAAAATTACATGTCCACAGATAGAACAAACTAATAATGTATGTTTTAATTACCAAGGCATCAGTAATACATGAAAATAAAAGATAGTGATAAAGCAACTTTGTTTGCTGCAGAATCTGTGGCTGTGGCTCAGGTGAGTCGGGCTGCGCTGTATGTGGCTGCTGCAAGGCATGTGCTAGAGAACTGGATGGCCAGGAAGCAAGGCAAAGAGGAATCCTTGATGCTGTAAAAGAGATGATACCTTTAGATCTCTTGCTGGGTAAGTGATATGAAATTAGCAAGATGGCTTTTAATTTTCTTCCTTACTGCACTTTTTTCCTCAGTGCATCTATTTACACTCCTTAATAAACTCAATCCCACTGCAGAATTTTGAAACTCAAACTGGAATAACAGGTTTGTTTAGAAATAGTTCAGTTAGTATTTTGATTCTTCTGGATGATACAGCTTTGTATCTTAAGTAAAGGACTTCTTTCTTTCCGGTCAAATTACTGAACTTTTAGACTTCAGGCAGTTTTAGTATAATACTGTTAAAATGGATAAAATGTTGCTTATCAGGCAGATTTATTTTCTGGTCATATAGCAAAGTGGGATCATTCTGGTAAGTGAAATATTTTAAACTTGGCCTTACTATAGACAATAGACACGTGTGCCGTTTTGACCTGTGCGGTTATGAGACTAATGCTGATACTACAAAGTTGTTATTGTCCTTTTTTGATAGCCTAAAAATTTTTCTGTAATCTTTTTATCAGTTTTTTACAGTCACATAAAAGGTGGGCAATACTGTTTTTTGAAATCTTTTCCTTTTAGAAATTTTCAGAGAGAAAAAGCTGAAAAGCTGCCAGGAATGTGGAAATCACTTTTTAAAAAAAACCAAAACACTTTCTCTGCTCCACCTCCCCCCCCCGCCGCCTCCCCCCCAAATACTCACCTTAGGGGAGAAAATACCAACTCCTATAATTATTGGAAAATAAGTTTGGGATCTTGCCTTGTAAGATCTGTTATCACAGTATTTTTAATATTTTATTCTCTGTGTTTACAACTGGGCAATTACGATCAGACTTTCCTTCCTTACTTTTTTTTTAGATTTTTTTAGATTTACATAGAGCCCTTAATCCTGCCTGGATATATGGACATAGTATCTGATATAGAAAAGAACTGTAAAATAGTCAGATGTGTGACTTAAAATATTTATACATCTTGCCAATTTATCGGCGGGGGG